GTGTGGGAGACTCCTCCCCACTAACACTGGTGTCAGAAGTATTGGGAATGTAGAAAGTTTTTCCTTGTTAGGGATCCAGAAAGACCTCTCACACCTGGGTTCCCAGGAAGGCAGCTGGGAGGGCACGAGGGGCTGGCTTCAGAGAGCCAAGGAGGACTGGGGAGTGCGGGAACAGGTGTGTGGCTCAGCAGTCGGGGACAGCAGCACCCTCTTCCCCAACCTCTTCACCCAAACGCATGGCTGGGCCTCAGCATCACATGAAGGTGCCACCACCAGCCCTGAGAGCCACTGGCATTTGTGCAGAGCTTCCCTGGTGTTGCACCAGGATGCAGGACTGGGGTGAAGGGCTCCAAGCTAGTGTGCAGTAGGAAAGCCCTGGGCAGTCATCAGTGATGTCCTTCTAGCCTGGGCTGGAGTCCCATCCCCAGTCCCACTTCCTCCAACTCTTCCTTGGAAGCCCAGAGGTGCCACACACACCTGCTGGCCACACACACTCACCAAGTCCCCAGGGTCCTGGCTGAGGCTGGGCAGACCCCTACTGGCCAAAATGTGGGGATGAAGTCACCCACCCACACTGTGCCGAGAACCACACTCCAGGGACCAGCATGCACTAGAAAAATGTCACACAGGAATACACACACAGATGGCACTCAAGAAACATTTATTGAGCACCTACTATGTGCCAGGCCCTAGGCAGAACACTTGGAAAACAAAGTCAATATAACCTGGTCCCTGCCCAGGAGCTCACAGTCTAGAGGGCTAAGCCATTAATCATGGAACAGCAAGGTGCATTTAGCTTCACAATTTTACAACAAACTTTTACATATGTTTTCTCAAGTGTAAACACCCAGCAACACAGTCGTGTGGTTTTAAAAGCACACTGGCATAACTGTAAACACAAGTCACAGGATTGAAAGGATGGACGAAAACCATTTGCAATATTTGTGCTTGCAGAACCAAATTTTTAGCATTATTTCTTCCTCCCTATCAGGTCGGATACAAGTTTTGCCAATTTTCAGGTAACAGTGTTTGAGACATGAGGGTTCCATGGCCTGCCTGCCGTCACGCAGTGGGGAAGCCACCCTAGGTACAAGGTGTCTTGAAGCCCTGGCCACTGCCTTCTGCCCACCATACCTCACTGTCTTTTAACTTCCCCTGGACAAAGACCCTGCTTTTTTTTTTTTTTTTTGAGACAAGAGTTTTGCTCTTGCCAGGCACAGTGGCTCACGCCTGTAATCCTAGCACTTTGGGAGGCCGAGGTGGGTGGATCACCTGAGGTCAGGAGTTCAAGACCAGCCTGGCCATCATGGTGAAACCCCATCTTAAAAAAAAAAAAAAAAAAAAAAAAAAAAAGTTTTGCTCTTGTTGCCCAGGCTGGAGTGCAATGGCAAGACCCTGGCTCACTGCAACCTCCACCCTCCAGGTTCAAGCGATTGTCCTGCCTCAAGCTCCCAAGAAGCTGGGATTACAGATGACTGCCACCACACCCAGCTAATTCTTTGTATTTTTAGTAGAGATGGGGTTTCACCATGTTGGTCAGGCTGGTCTGGAACTCCAGACCTCAGGTGATCAGCCCACCTCAGCCTCCCAAAGTGCTGGGATTACAGACATGAGCCAGCATGCCTGGCCGACCCTATACATTTTTTGGCTCCTCCTGAGCTTGTCAGATGGGGAGAAGGGACCATGTCCCAGGAGCCCACCAAGCTGTAAGATCCCTCATGGGTACATGGCTGGCCCATGGCAACACCCTATCAGGTGAGCATGCAGCACACACTGCCCAGGCCTGGACCCTGCTTGTCTGAGATGAAATCCCTGGTCAATCTCAAATCTGGTAGTGTTGGTGAGCTGTGGTAGCTCACACCTGTAATGCCAGCACTTTGGGAGGCTGAGGCAGAAGGATCACTTGAGGTCAGGATTCGAGACCAGCCTGGCCAACATGGCGAAACCCTATCTCCACCAAAAAAATACAAAAATTAGACAATCATGGTGGCAGGCACTTGTAACCTCAGCTACTCGGGAGGCTGAGGCAGGAGAATCACTTGAATCCGGGAGGCCAACACGGCAAAATCCCATCTTTCCTAAAAATACGAACAATTAGTTGACATCGCACCGCATTCCAGCCTGGGCGACAGTGCGAGACTCCATCTCTAAATAAATAAATTTGACGGTCAGTACCCTACAGGAATAGCTGCCCTGCAAGTCTCACCTGTGTCCCCACTTCTCCTACATGCACATTTGTCCACAGGTGCACAGTCCTGCTTCCCACACCTGCCAAAGTGGCCTCCTCATGGTCCAGGGAATGGGGGAATCCAGCAAACATTTGGGTTTAATTAAGCCAAGGGGTGGGTGGATGAAGCTGGACAGCTGAGGGTGCAGGCCTGAAGAGCTGTACAAGGCAGGGCTGAGTTTAGGACCCCTGTGCTCCCTTCCCCATCACAGGGAAAAGGAGGAGAGGCATCTTCCCACCTGCAAGCCGGCTACCACCATTTCACTTTAGAAAACTCAGGATACAGCCGGGCGTGGTGGCTCAAGCCTGTAATCCCAGCACTTTGGGAGGCTGAGGCGGGTGGATCATGAGGTCAAGAGATCGAGACCATCCTGGTCAACATGGTGAAACCTCGTCTCTACTAAAAATACAAAAAATTAGCTGGGTATGGTGGTGCGTGCCTGTAGTCCCAGCTACTCAGGAGTCTGAGGCAGGAGAATTGCCTGAACCCAGGAGGCGGAGGTTGCGGTGAGCCGAGATCGCGCCAATGCACTCCAGCCTGGGTAACAAGAGTGAAACTCCGTCTCAAAAAAAAAAAAAGAAAAAAAAAAAAGAAAACTCAGGATAATTCCCAGCTTCCTGGGTGTGAGCACCCCTGGGCTTGCACAGTGGCCTCTTTTGGACAGAGGCCTACCAGGTGAGCCAGAAGGTACAATGTTCAAGAAAATTGCTTCTGACCCCATTTCCAGAGCAGAGAGGAGGGGAGGGGGTGAGACACCTGCAGGTGACTGATAGCACAAGTCAACCCTTGTCCCCCCGCCCCGAAGAGGGCTGCCCTGGCGCTGTCCCACCTTCGGGAGAGGTGGCTCCCTGGCTTCCCCCAGGATCATCTTCCAGCCCCCCTGCCCCTCAGGGTTGCTCTAGGTGGCCAGGTATCCTGCTAGCAAACCCCTTCCCCCAATGATGGCCCAGACGGAACTCTTAATAAAAAAAAATAATTTATTGTCAACAAAGGTGATATATACAACAGGAAAACAGATGAAAAAGAGAATGGGAGTGAATGGGGCACCCAGCCAGGCAGCCTCAGGCCTCTGCAGGGGTGGGACAGGAAGAGGTAATGGAGGCTTCCTGGTTTAGGAGCCTGAACAAGTGGGGAGGGGAGGTGTCCCCCGAGGTAGTGGGACTCAGTTCAAACCCCCTTATGACCACTCTTGTGTAAGGCACTGTGCCAAGGGAGAATGGTGGGGAGCCGGGGGAGGGTGTCATGGGGGACAGAGAGAGGTGGGGGTCAGCGAAGGACTGGGGTAGGTGTTCTCCACAGGCCCAGTGCCCTACTGCACGACAGCCTCAGCCACCCTCGCTGACCTCGGGCCTGGCCAGGAGCAGACACTTTCCAGTGCCTTGAAATAACAATGGATGCTGCCCAGCCCCCTCCTGCCCTGGCACCCGTTTCTACTCTCTCCACCAGGTGGCTGAGCTGGGCAGCTCGATTGAGTTATAAGCCACAGGGGGACACTGCCGCCTCCTGCCTCCTCCCTCCTCCCTCCTCCCTCCCTCCCTCCCTCCCCCAGGAAAGCAAGAATCTACACCCCATTCCCTTTCTCTGGCTTCCCCGCCACAGTAGTGCTGGATTCCGACAGAACCGTGGGCCAGTCTGGGGTGTCACCTGCTCCCACACGCTTGGTGCCCTGGGGGTGCTTGGACCAGTCTTGCAGGAGGCTGACCGCCGGGGGCTCCTCCATCCGCACACGGATAACCTGGAGATCCAGTGTCCCGCGGAGCCCCGAAGGAGGAGCTGGGCAGGGATGAGAGCAGAGAGCAGAGTCAGGGCCCCCCAGACACCCCACCATGAGGATGCTCCCTGGAAGCTCTGCAAACTCTATCCCCATTTCCAGGGCTTTATGTCCACAGCCCAGTGCCTAGCATGAGGGGAAGTCTAAGGATGGCAGGAAGCTCCACTCCTGGCTGATTGAGGACTGCTGCTAGCCAGAAAATGAGGCTCACAGCCTCCCCAGGCATGAGCCAGATGAAGCTAGGCAGCCTTCCTCCTGTGTGTATTTTGGCATATGGACGCCTGGTGCTGTGTGCCTCTCCCCCTAACTCTTACCTGCAGCCAATTCCATTTCATCTCAAGCTTACTGCGCATCCTAGCTTAATGGGTTCTGCCTGGGTAGGGCAGAGGTGCAGGGGTGGGAACACTCAGAAGCAGTCTAAGGCATAGCTGTGCCCACCAAAGAGCTCATGAGGGACACACAGGGCAGAGAAAAGAGCCCTGGTGAGTGCCCAGCTCCACACTGCAGTTTCTACCAGGGTCTTTATCTGCTGAGCATCAACACCTACATCACCAGGATCTGGCATCCACCTTAGTAGTATGGAGAAGCCACTCCTAATGAGCAAAGCTGTGCCTTGAGACAGAGAAAAGAGGACTGCTGTGGGTCGTGTGCAGCCACAAAAAACGAGCATGCAACAGGGACATGTGCAAAAGTGATGTTACACTGGGGCCAGGAATAGTGGCTCACACTTGTAATCCCAGCACTTTGGGAGACCAAAGTGAGCACATCACTTGAGGTCAGGAGTTCGAGATCAGCCTGGCTAACCTGGAGAAACCCTGTCTCTACTAAAATACAAAGAAATTAGATGGGCGTGGTGGTGCACCTCTCTAATCCCAGCTACTCAGGTGGCTGAGGCAGAAGAATCACGTGAACCCAGGAGGCTGAGGTTGCAGTGAGCCAAGATCACACCACTGCACTCCAGCCTGGGCGACAGAGTGAGACTCTGTCACACACACATAAAAAAGTGACATTACATTTAAAGGCAAAAACAGAAAATGGTGATTGCAACTACTGCCCTGTCTATATTGGGAAGGACTCATTTGTGTTCCTTTTCTATCCTGTTTTTAGAGACACGATTACTTAAAACGTGGCAGAGAAAACAGGTACAATTTTGCTGTGCAATGTGCTGGAATTTAAAATGACTTAGTGGTCGCCACCGAATTTTTATCACCTACCAAATTTTATTCTGTGTTCCCAGAAGCTGGTTTGTTTCCCTGACAAACTATAGCCTCGCTAAAGGAACCCTGAATCCCATGTGTTCATTAATTCAACAATAGGTTATTGAGTAACTGTGACATGCCCAATGCTCTTCAGATTGCCAGGGGTACAGCGGTGAATGGAGCTGCCTCAGTGGCTTTCTGGGACTTCACGTTCTAGTCATTAAAGCCAATATATCGGATAAACAAATAAAAGATGCAGTACGTTACCTATGGCCAGATACAAAGATGAAAAGTACTCCACGGAAAGGAGAGAGGATAGCAGAGAGCTGACAGGGGACCAGAGACACAGAGGCAGTGAGGGGTCAGCCAAAGACAGGTGGGGAAACAGCATTTTCAGCAGAGGGAAGAGCAAATGTGGACACCCTAGTGGAGGAACAGCAAGGCCAGTACCCGTGTAGGGAGCGGAGTGTCCAGGGAGAGGTCAGGAGCCTGGGAGGAGGCTCACTGGTCACCAAGAGGGCTGTAAGTGGGGGAGTGACTGGATCTGACTTGTGTTCTCACCAAGGACACTATGGGTGCTACAGGAGAGCAGAGCATAGTGGGCAAAGCTCAGAAGCCAAGAGACCTGGCTTAGGTTTGTTTCAGGAACCAGGCGACAGCCAGCCTGGACTAGGGTAGCAGCAGTGGATGTGGTGACAGCAGCATGAGCTCTGAACTTGTTTTGGAAGATTGGCTGCTGGACTGATGCTGGGTTGGACAGAGAAAGAAGAGGGTGACTATATGGGTGTGGCCACAGTAAATGAAGGCTGGGGCTGTCTGTTTACTGGGAAAGGGAAAATCATCAAGGCTAGGGGTGGGGTGCATTGGAGAGACTGGGGGTTCAGTTTCAATGTGCTGAGTTTGACTTTTTTTTTGAGATGGAGTCTCTCTGTCGCCAAGCTGGAGTGCAGTGGCGTGATGTTTGAGATCTTTTAGACAACCATGTAGAGGTGCCACCTGGGCAACTGGAAAAGAGGATGGAACCAGGAAAGAGGGGCCAAAGTAGGTGTTACGGGCACACAAGGCATTGAAAGCTGTGAATCTGGGTGAGACCTCTCAGGGACCAAGGTCTAACAATGGCCCATGGCTGGAATATTTAAGCACTTACTCATTCACCAAACACATAAGCCAGGCCTACTCTGTGCCAGGCACTGTTTTGGCTCCTGGGGACATCACAGTGTAGGACTCACACATCCTAATCCGCAGGCCCTTACATTCTAGAAAGGGAAAGGAAGACAACGATATGATGTGTTTCAAACTCTGGGAGCTGAGGATGAGCAGCAAGAGAAACTGAGAAGGAGCAGCTAGTGAGGGAAGAGGAAACCAGGCGAGTAGCTGCCTGAAGAGCCAAGGGAATAAAGTTGTCTCCAGGAAGGAGTGAGTGATGGGCCCACTGTAACTGCCAGATTGAAAAGGGAAAGACCAGCCTGGAGCAGTGGCTCACGCCTATAATCCCAGCACCTTGGGAGGCCAAGGCAGGTGGATCACCTGAGATCAGGAATTCAGACCAGCCTGGCCAACATGGTGAAACCCCATCTCTACTAAAAATACAAAATTAGCTGGGTGTGGTGGCACATGCCTGTAATCTCAGCTACTCGGGAGGCGGAGGCAGGAAAATCATTTGAACCAGGGAGGCAGAGGTTGCAGTGAGCCAAGATTACACCACTGCATTCCAGCCTGGACGACAAAGTGAGACTCAAAAACCAAACAAAACACCCGTATGAAGCTCACACTCACGCACACACATGCTCACTCTCTCACTCCGCTTTCTCCTTGGTCCAGCCTGGAAACACAGGATCTGGCCGAGGTATCCTAAGCCAGATCCTTAGGTTCTACTCAAATTAAACACCAGTGAGACAGAGAGGCTCCTCTTTCCGTTACTTATCAGCAGGTCACTGTGGCCCATCCCCTCTCCTAGCCTGGACATATTCCCAATTCTCCTCCGGCAAGGTCCTTGGAGGGTTCTAGGGTCTTCCCAGACCACCTCACATTGATATCCATCAGCTCAGCTAACCTGACCACAGTGGCCTTTTCAAACTGTGAAATCCGTAATTTTCACACCTCTAAATTTTAAAAAAAGTAGCAGGATCTTTATTTAAATGAAGTCTTCAGAGAACTTCAATATGTACATAATACAGAAAGTAGAGACATTCTGGTGGAAGCGTCGCAGGTTTCTGAGAAATCTGCCCAAGCTTTTGGTGGTTCGCAAGATCATCTGAAACCACAGGTCCAGGGCCTCTGCTCTGCAAAGAACTGTCATGAGGGCCCCCTGGTTTTTAAAGATTTACTGCCTCCAGCCTATAAACTGGAGCCTATAAACTCAGTGGACACACTGAGCTTTGGGGGACAAAGGCTGTCTCACTCATGCCATTTCCCAGGGTGCTTCCCCTAGGCACAGGCTCCAGAACACTTGTGTACCACTCAGGTCTTCTGTGGTTTCCCAGGCCTCTCCAACCTCCACAAATGCTGCCACCGCTTGACAACAACCTACAATCGCCTCCGTCCCTCTCAGATCATTCAAGCGGCCGGCTGAAGCCCCCTTCCACTCAGACTTTGCCCATTCACCCCAAAGAAATCTAAAAGCTCAGGGATTCTCTTCTCATCTACTCACCACTCCAGATAGGTGGAGTCTGTGCACAGGGTACCCCAGGACTCGAAATGAAGGCTCACTTTCGAGAATGAAACCAGAAGACCCATTAGACAGTGGAAGAATTCAGCCATTTAGAGCAGGGATCCACTGGAGAGAACCAGGAGCCTCGAGACATGCTCAAGTTCAAGTGGAACACATGGTCTCAGGGAGCCAGGACTGGAATGTGACTCAAGCTGAAACTTGAGACAGTTAAAACTGTGATCTATATGAAGGGGTAAGGCCTGCCTTGAGATCAGAAAAAGGCGGACCCAAATAATAGATAAAAGCAACTACAGACACACACACAACAGGTCTGCGGCCTGCCTTGAGATCAGAAAAAGGGGGACCCAAATAATAGATAAAAGTAAAAGCAACCCCCCACCCAACACACAAATGGTCTAGCTCTGTCAGGTCTGAGGCCTGCCTTGAGATCAGAAAATGGGAGACCCAAATAACAGATAAAAGCAACTACAGACACACACATACACATAAGCGCGTAACTGTCTAGCTCTGTTGCCCAGGCTGGAGTACAGTGGTACAATCTGATTGGAGTACAATCAGAATTTATTCAAACTCCTGGGCTCAAGTGATCCTCTTGCCTTAGTCTCTAGCCTTAGTAAGGACTTTAAATTAAACTTTCTATCTATAGAGATGGAGTCTCCTTAATGTTGCCCAGATTGGTCTGGAACTCCTAGCCTCAGGCAATCTTCCCACCATGCGACCCAAAGTGCTGGGATAATAAGTGTGCGCTACTGTGCCTAGCCAAGGCTTTTTTTTTTTTTTTTTTTTTTTTGAGACAGAGTTTCGCTTTTGTTACCCAGGCTGGAGTGCAATGGCGCGATCTCGGCTCACCGCAACCTCCGCCTCCTGGGTTCAGGCAATTCTCCTGCCTCAGCCTCCTGAGTAGCTGGGATTACAGGCACGCACCAACATGCTCAGCTAATTTTTTGTATTTTTTTTTTTGTTTTTTTTGTTTTTTTTTTTTTGAGACGGAGTTTTGCTCTTGTTACCCAGGCTGGAGTGCAATGGCTCGATCTCGGCTCACCGCAACCTCCGCCTCCTGGGTTCAGGCAATTCTCCTGCCTCAGCCTCCTGAGTGGCTGGGATTACAGGCACGTGCCACCATGCCCAGCTAATTTTTTGTATTTTTAGTTGAGACGGGGTTTCACTATGTTGACCGGGATGGTCTCGATCTCTTGACCTCGTGATCCACCCGCCTCAGCCTCCCAAAGTGCTGGGATTACAGGCTTGAGCCACCGCGCCCGGCTAATTTTTTGTATTTTTAGTAGAGACGGGGTTTCACCATGTTGACCAGGATGGTCTCGATCTCTTGACCTCGTGATCCACCCGCCTTGGCCTCCCAAAGTGCTGGGATTATAGGCTTGAGCCACTGTGCCCGGCAAGGCTTTTTTCTTTATGCAAAAAAGCACACCTGTCATCCTAGAACTTTGGGAGGCCTAGGTGGGAGGACTGCTTGAACTCAGGAGTTCAAGACCAGTTTGTGCAACATAAGGAAAACCTGTCTCTACAAAAAATTTAAAAATTAGCCTGGCATGGAGAGGCACATCTGTGGTCCTAGCTACTCAGGAAGCTCTGGCAGAAGGACTGCTTGAGCTGGGAGTTTGAGGCTGCAGTGAGCTATGATGGTACCACTGCACTCCAGCCTGGGCAGAGATCCTGTTTCAAAAAAACAAAAAGAGCACACCTGCTTTTTGAGAGCCCTACTCTCAGAACCTCCAGCCACTCCGTTGGCCATCACTCTATGGCTCTAATTCCAAACACACATTTCAGACAAGCTGGTACAAGGAACCATGCACTCCTGACCCACTCACTTCTTCAAGAAGCATTTCCTGAGCGCCTGTAAACTATGCCTGGCACGGAGCGATGAACGGAGGACCTAGGCTCGGTCTCTGCCTGCTAGACTCCATTCCAGTCTCATCCTCATTCTGCTTGTTGGGTCACATGAGTGTGGTTGGCAGAATGATGCCCCTCACCCCCCACCAGATGTTCATGTCCTAACCCCTGGAACCTGGTACATGACAAAGGGCAATGAAGGCTACAGATGAAATTAAGGTTGCTCATCAGCAGACTAAAAGAGAGATGATCCTGGACTGAGTGCGCCCAATATAATCATGAGGGTCCTTGAATGGGGAAGAGGCAGATGAGCCGGAACCAGGGCGGTATCTGAGAAAGACTGGCCACTGCTGGCTTTGAAGATGGAAGGCCACAAGCCAAGACATGCAGGCAGCCTCTAGGAGATGGGCAAGGCAAGAAAGTAGATTTTCCCCTAGAGCTACCAGGAAGAAACAGCCCTGCCAACACCTTGATTTTAGCTCCATGAGACCCTTTTTGGACCTCTGACTTCCAGAACTATAAAATAATATGTGTTATGTTTAGTTTTTAGAGAGGGTCTCGCTCAGTCGTCCAGGCTGGAATGCAGTGGTATGATCGTAGCTCACTGCAGCCTTGAACTCCTGGGTCAAACAATCTTCCTGTCTCAGCTTCCCAAGTGGCTGGGACTAAAGGCACAAGCCATGTGTGTTGTTTTAAGCCATTATGTTTGTGTGATTTGTTGCAGCAGCAAACAGGAAACTGACATAAGGATCATGAAGAAGAAACCATTTCTTTGAGAAATGGTTTTTCCGGCTGGGCGTGTTGGCTCATGCCTGCAATCCAAGCACTTTGGAGGCCAAGGTGGGTGGATCACCTGAGGTCGGGAGTTCAAGACCAGCCTGACAAACATGGTGAAACCCCGTTTTAAAAAAAAGAAAAAAAAAAGGCCAGGCGCGGTGGCTCAAGCCTGTAATCCCAGCACTTTGGGAGGCCGAGGCGGGTGGATCACGAGGTCAAGAGATCGAGACCATCCTGGTCAACATGGTGAAACCCCGTCTCTACTAAAAATACAAAAAATTAGCTGGGCATGGTGGCACATGCCTGTAATCCCAGCTACTCAGGAGGCTGAGGCAGGAGAAAAACTCCGTTTCAAAAAAAAAAAAAAAAAAAAAAAAAAGAAATGGTTTTCCCATTTGGAAAAAGGAATGGACATCTGCCCTTCTATACAAGCTATTTTTGTAAGGACCAAATAAACTACATACTGTAAACTTCTTTTTTTTTTTTTTGAGACGGAGTTTCGCTCTTGTTGCCCAGGCTGGAGTGCAATGGCGCGATCTCGGCTCACCGCAACCTCCGCCTCCTGGGCTCAGGCAATTCTCCTGCCTCAGCCTCCTGAGTAGCTGGGATTACAGGCACGCGCCACCACGCCCAGCTAGTTTTTTGTATTTTTAGTAGAGACGGGGTTTCACCATGTTGACCAGGATGGTCTCGATCTCTCGACCTCGTGATCCACCCGCCTCGGCCTCCCAAAGTGCTGGGATTACAGGCTTGAGCCACCGCACCTGGCTACTGTAAACTTCTTTTGGAGACAGAGTCTCACTCTGTCACCCAGGCTGAAGTGCAGTGGCGCGATCCTGGTTTACTGCAACCTCTACCTCCCAGGTTCAAACAATTCTCCTGCCTCAGCCTCCTGAGTAGCTGGGATTACAGGCGCCTGCCACCGTGCCCGGCTAGTTTTTATATTTTCAGTAGAGATGGGGTTCACCATGTTGGCCAGGCTGGTCTCAAACTCCTGACCTTAGGTGATATACCTTCCTTGTCCTCCTGAAGTGCTGGGATTACAGGTATGAGCCATCTTGCCTGGCCTTGTATGTTAAGCTTCTTTTTTTTCTTTTAATTTTGAGACGGAGTCTTGCTCTATTGCCCAGCCTGGAGTCACGATCTCGGCTTACTGCAACCTCCAACGCCCAGTGGGTTCAAGTGATTCTTCTGCCTCAACCTCCTGAGGGCTGGGACTACAGGCACGTGCCACCATGCTGGACTATTTTTTATATTTTCAGTAGAGATGGGGTTTCACCATGTTGGCCAGGCTGGTCTCAAAATCCTGACCTCGTGATCTGCTTGCCTCAGCCTCCGAAAGTGCTGGGATTACAGCCATGAACCACCACGCCCGGCCCATATTTAAGGTTCTTAAACTTAGTAGGGCACTGAACACCACAAGCACTTACCGCTATTACCAGGCAATTTACTGAGCTGGTGTCCCCTGGAGGTGTCTGTCTACTGTTCATCCCAACTATTCTCTGGACATTTAAATGAACTGCCGTGCAGCCCCATCTGGGCCCCTGCTCCACCAGGGCACCTCTCATACTCTAGCTAGAACAACTGTATGTGAAAATCAGCTTCTGGGAAACATTGGCCTACCCTGACCCAATGACCAACTCCAGAAAACTCCTAAAGAACACTAAGGAAAGCTCAGCTGGCTGGGTGCGGTGGCTCATACCTGTAATCCTAGCACTTTGGGAGGCTGAGGAGGGTGGATTGCCTGAGCTCAGGAATTCAAGACCAGCCTGGGCAACATGGCAAAACCCTCTCTACTAAAAATCCAAAAAATTACTCAGGCATGGTGGCATGCACTAGTCCCAGCTACTGAGGCCAAGGCAGGAGAATTGCTTGAACCTGGAATTGGAGGTTGCAGTGAAATCAGATTACACCACTGCATTCCAGCCGGGGCAACAGAGCAAGACTGCCTCAAAAAAATAATAAAAATAGACCAGGCACAGTGGTTCACGCCTGTAATCCCAGCAATTTGGGAGGCCGAGGTGGGTGGATTTGGCCAACATGGCCAAACCCCATCTCTACTAAAAATATAAAAATCAGCCAGGCGTGGTGGCACCTGCCTGTAAACCCAGCTACTCGGGAGGCTGAGGCAGAAGAATCCCTTCAACCTGGGAGGCAGAGGCTGCAGTGGGCTGAGATTGTGCCACTATACACCAGCCTGGGTGACAGAGCAAGATGCTATCTCAAAAAACAAACAAAAATAATTTTTTTTTTAAAAACAAAAACTCAATTCTCAACTCAGCCTCTCTCATCATTCAGATTCCCCTGCCTCTGGCCCTGTGTCCCAGGAAACCTGAGCACCACCCACCCTATGCTGGGCTCTGCCACAGAGCAGCCCTGCCGAGGCCCGGCCCAGGGGCGCTGCCTGCAAGGTCCCCACCATGCATCTTGCTGCAGAGGGCGTACCTGGAGAGGGGCTCTCTGCCCGGGGAAGGCCTCCCTCTGCCGCTTCCCCATCTTTGGGTGGGTCCTTGCTGTCTGAGCCCCTGAGCTGGGTGTGGGAGAAGAGCTGCAGGACAAAGCCAGCGGGGAAGCTGCCGTCAGTGAAGTGTCGGACCTCTGCTGGTGCCGCAAAAGTCTCCGTGGGCGAGTCTGGTGATGGGGGCTCTGGAAGGGAGGACGGGAAGGAACTGTGAGTGAAGATGCTTCAGGGGAGCTGCAGGCGTCCAGTGCCCAGGCCCTGCTCCATCCTCACTGATGTGCATCTCCACGGAGCCCTGCATCAGAGCCCATACCTCCCCTGGGCCTCCCCTTCACCTGGGTCAGGGTCCAGGTTTTTGGTCATAGGTCTGCCTCTTTTCTTCCTGACTGGCTCTTCCCCTGGGGGCTCCTTCCATCTCTGACCACGTGGCTTCTTATTTCCTGGCTCTGTGGCAGGGACAGCTGCAAAAAGAAAAGACCTCATACCTTCTTTAAGAGGCCATCCCCCAACCCTGCGGCCCCAGGGCTCCCAAAGATTCCTGCCCAGAACACAGGATCTGTACTTCACCCTGTCCCCAAACCCCCACTTCCACTCCACCAGGGCTCACTGGCTTCCCCGTTAACTAACCAGGAAGCTCGAGGGGGCGAAGTCCCCTGGGACGACTCCTTTTAGGGAGAGATGGGTTATCCTCAGAGTCGAGGAGCACGACGATTTCAGCTGGCACTCTGGCAGGGTCTGGATTGGAGTCTGGGTCTGGATGGGCATCCTGGCCTGAGTCTGCAGGGGGCAAGGGCACAGTGAGCTTCCAGTGTCCCAACAAGTCCAACTTCTCCCTTCACCCACCCCAGGCCCAACTACCTGAGTGGGGTGGGGATGGCTGCTCAGCTCTGACGTCTTGCAGGAGGGCCACCCCTTCACTCCAGGCCTCCAGGATGTTGCTCTTCTCGGAAGGGCTCAGGTCCAGGGTATGAGGATGCTGCTCCAAGATGTGCGAGCGCGCCGTGTCGGCCGAGGGTGCCCGGATCTCAGCGCCACACACCATGCACAGCGCCCGCCCGCTGCCTCCAGGGCTGCTGCCCACCAGGAATTCCTGCTCCCAAGACACCTGTTGCTTGGGCTCCTCACAGCTATCACTGCCTGCCTCCAGCGGGCTGGGTCTAGGCGGCAGGGTCTTCTCCTGTTGGGTCACTGCGAGGGGAGATGCGGACGGTGTTATCACTAAAGGTGCCCGCCACTGACAATACTTAGCACGGCTCCAGACTCAGAGGTTTGAGTGGGACGGGGGAGGAGAGCATTTCTGTCCAAACTGTTCTTCTTCCTTCCCGTGGAGTCCACGAGGCACACATTACACTAAACACAGCCAATGTGCCCAGGATCCCACTCCCCTCGCCTAGTCTTGGGCCTTAGGACTACACATACTTTTCCAACAGGCACATTCTCGCTGGTCTCCAGCCTTTGCACATCTGTCCAAACTACCCTGACCGAGCTGGGCGACACCATCCCTGAGAAGCCTTCCAGGACCCCACTCCTAGCAATAGATCTCATCCAAATCTGACTTCTACACTTCGTGAGAAAACTAAATTTTTTTTTTTTTTTTTTTTATGAGAGGGAGTTTCGCTCTTGTTACCCAGGCTGGAGTGCAGTGGCGCGATCTCGGCTCACCGCAACCTCCGCCTCCTGGGTTCAGGCAATTCTCCTGCCTCAGCCTCCTGAGTAGCTGGGATTACAGGCACGCACCACCATGCCCAGCTAATTTTTTGTATTTTTGGTAGAGACGGGGTTTCACCATGTTGACCAGGATGGCCTGGATCTCTTGACCTCGTGATCCGCCCGCCTCGGCCTCCCAAAGTGCTGGGATTACAGGCTTGAGCCACCGCGCCCGGTGTAAATTTTTTTAATTTAAAAATTTTATTTATTTATTTTGAGACAGAGTCTCACTTTCTCACCCAGGCTGGAGTGCAATGGTGCAGTCTCAGCTCATTGCAGCCTTGACCTCCTGGGTTCAAACGATCCTCCTTCCTCAGCCCCGGCGAAGCAGCTGGAACTGAGGGTGAGCACCACTATGCCTGGCTAATAATTTTTTTTTGCTTGTTTTTTTAAGAAATGGTCTGGACTCACTTTGTTGCCCAGGCTGGAGAACAGTGGTGCTATCACAGCTCACTGCTGCCTCTAACTCCTGAGCTGAAGGGACCCTCCAGCCTCAGCCACCTGAGTAGCTGGGACTACAGATGCAAACTATCATGCCTATCTAATTAAAAAAAATTTTTTTGGCTGTGTGCAGTGGCTAACACCTTTAATTCCAGCACTTTGGGAGGCCGAGGAGGGTGGATCATGAGGTCAGGAAATCAAGACTAGCCTGGCTAACATGGTGAAATTCCGTCTCTACTAAAAAAAATTAGCCAGGCGTGGTGGCAAGCGCCTGTAGTCCCAGCTACTCTGGAAGCTGAGGCAGGAGAAGCGCTTGAACCCGGGAGGCGGAGGCTGCAGTGAGCCGAGATGGGATCTTGTTATGTTGCCCATAGCAACAGGCTGGTCTTGAAGTGGGCTCAAGCAATCCTCCTGCCTCAGCCTCCCAAGGTGCTGGGATTACAGGCACGAGCCACCACCATGCCTGGCCCAGAACAGTATATTTTATCATCTTACTAAGGGCCGCCCCATCCCCTCAGAACTCTCCCCTCTCAGTGCTCACACAACATTTATGGCTACAGTCTCACTCCTGTTGTCTGATGCCTGCTGTTTGTGCAGACAGACCATAAGCTCTCACAGGGCACGAGCCCTTTCCAGTTCAGCAAAGGCAGCCTTAGAACTGCATTAGCCTGGAGGCTCAGTGCTTTTACGAAGTGCCCATGATCCCTCACAGCTGCATCTCTCTCCTACCTTCCAGAGAGGATGGGACAAAACTAAAATGCCTGGGGGCTGCATAGAAGAGGTGGCATTAGAAATGAATTGGAGCCTCGGCTTGCATGGATACAAGAGGTGGTGGCTGAAATAGAGACGAGATCTGTCTTATACCCATCTCTCACCTGACCATGGGCAGAAAACCTGACCTGTCAGTTGCCATCAGCTTTCTTCCCTACTAGTTCTCCCAAACAGCTCTCATCCAAGTCAGCAGTGCTAAACCCGGCAGTCAGTTTTTAAACTTCATCCTCTGCCAATCACCTCTTCCATCTTGATTTGCATCACTTGCATCCAGGGCATGATCTTTTGTTGGTTCTTCTTTTACTTCCCTGGCACTCCTCCTAAGTCATGTGTGCTGGTTCTTCCTCGTCTCTTCTCAATATTCCCTCCCTCCTCCGGGATGTTGCTGAAGAACTATCTCCCCATCTAGACCACACCATTCCCCTTACGCAGCATTTCCAACCCAGCACACGTCACCACCTGTCACCTGTTTAGGGGATGTTCACTGCCTGTCTCCTCACCACACCACAGAATCCAGGACTACACAGATTTCTGATGTTTCGCACCTGGATCTCCAGCACCAAGAACAGTACCTGGCATGTAGTGGCATTTAGTAATGTGTAAGGACGGACTGACTTGATCTCCAAACTGCCATCCCTGGAGTTTCCCAGGACTTAGTCCTTGGCCTTTTTTTTGAGACAGAGTCTTGTCTCTGTCACCCAGGCTGGAGTGCAGTGGCTCAATCTCGGCTCACTGCAACCTTCACCTCCCAGATTCAAGTGATTCTTCTGCCTCAGTCTCCTGAGTAGCTGGGATTACAGGCATGCACCACCATGTCTGGCTAATTTTTGTGTTTTTGGTAGAGATGGAGTTTCACCATTTTGGCCAGGGTGGTCTCAAACTCCTGACCTCAGCTGATCCACTCACCTAGGCCTCCCAAAGTGCTGGGATTACAGGCGTGAGCCATTGCACCCGGCCTTCAGTCCTTGGGCACTTGTGTCTACTTCCTTCTGATGCCACTGCCTGCCTGCTGGCAATTTCCATTGACATCACCAGCCAGATACTCCCAGGAAATCTAGGCTCCTGTATCTGACTGTTTAGTGACCTTTTCACTTGAATATGTCATAAATAGGCATCTCAAACTTATCATATTCAAACGTTCACTTCCAATCTTCCATGAGTACTGCAACCTTCCCCATCTCAGAAAACAGGAAGGCTGTTTCTCCAGTTGCTCAGGCCAAAAACCTTGAATTCAATCTCTCTTCCTCTCTCCACTGAAATCTTTCCAGAAGCGTGTGCTGCCGGACCTTTGCACTTGCTACTTGGCCTGAAATGCTCTTCCCTCCAGGTATCTGCAAAGTTGGCCATCCTCACTTCCTTCGGGTCTCTGCTCAAAATTCACCTTATTAGAGAAGCCTTTCTGAATCACTCGATATATCAAATTAAATACCATTCCCCCTTTTTCTCCTTGTCCTGCTCTAGTGATCTCTGAACCACTTGTTGCCACCTAACATCCTATACAGGAACCTATGTATCTGTCTTTAGCCATTGGCATATATATGTTCTTCAAGAGCAAGGTTTCGGCTGCTCTGTTGACTGCCACTGCTGCTTCCCAGCCTAAAACAGTAGCCTGAACAGCCTGAAGTAGATACTCAGGGAATACTCGTTGAATGAATTCACTTGTCTATTCCCACCCTAACAGTGGGCATAAGGCAATCTTTGCAGAGTGGAGAGGATTAACTGAGACAGCCTCTAACAATGCCCAGTGAACACTCAACAAATATTAGCAGAAGTAGAAAAATAACTAAATGCTCCGAGAAGGGAGGTGACCTTTATTTCCCTCATTAATTTTATAACCCTTCCAGTTCCAAAAAGGGTGAGAGGCAGTGCAGACAGAGAGCATTCGGATGCGCTGAAGTTTAAAGAATGGCCTTGGGGCTTTCAACCTCTTTTGGGTACTATCCCCCCTAAGAAAAGTGGGACTGGAGAATGGAAAGATAATTGCATTTTCTTGCATATTAAGTTTTCCCCACAAAGATGGCTCTTGGTTTTCTGACGGTCTGCAAGCTCCTGAGGACTAAAGAAATCGGTGAAGGGGGAGGGGAAAGCGAACGTTCTCAGATTGTTCCTCCCATCCCCTCCCCAAGCGAATCTCACTCTGGCACTGCACTGCTTTCCCAAACTAGGTGTTGTATGCAGTCCCATGCAGCCCTTCTCTCCAGAACCTGACACCTGTGGCTCGTGCAAGTGGAAGGCCCGGGAATGGGATGAAGCGGGGTGCTGGGCACGAAAGCGCTGTGCTTGGAGAGTCCTTAAATTCTATTGGAGGTCGGCAGCGGCGCGCGCCTCCAGCCTCGGGCCTAGAGGCCTCGCCGCCCCTCAGCCTAGAACACAGCCGGGCCGTGGTGCCGGCCTCCGCCTCCCGGGCGGTGAGACGGCGGCCACCCAGCGCCTCTGGGGATCCGGCCTCCGGGGCTGGGGCCGGGAGAGGGGGCGCTCGGGCACCGGAAGATCCGGAGCGTGCGGGGCGTGGATCGATGGCTCCAGACCCTGGACGGGGGGAGGGGGAGGGAGGGGGAAATCGAGGAGGCCCGAGCTTCCGAACCAAGGTGGGGGAGGTGCAGAGCGCGCCCTGGACCCGCAACCGAGAGGGGAGGCTGTGCCCCAGGCTGGAGGGGGCGAGAAGGTGCCCGGGTCTCAGACCCCGACTCGGGAAGGCCGGGCCCGCACAGTGACGCGGAAGTGGGGTCCCCTCCATCCTCACCTCTGAGCATCGGCTCAGGCCGCGGAATTACGGCCACCACCATGGCCTCCTCCTCGTCCTCCCCTTCCTCGCATTTGAGCGTCACCTCAAAGCAGTCGAGTGCGGCGCCCTCGGCCTTTACGGCCATGGTGCGGCCGTGGGCGAAAGCGGTGGCCTGAGGACTGGCGCGCAGGCTTCGGCGCGCAGCCGGCGGCCGCCTCAGGCCTCCCGCCCGGAACAGCGCCTGGCCTGCCGCCCGCCCCGCGCAGCCCCCTCCCCGCCACTCGCCGGCCGGGCTTGCGACCGGCGCGTCCGGGCCTCCCCGAGACCTCGGCGCGTCGGGAGCCCGGGCGGGGAGGGCTCAATCCGGGGCCCCAGCCCCCTGCCGCTCCCTTTTATGGAGGCTCATTGTCAGCTCCCGCCCGGCCAGCGCGCCGCGGCCCCGCCCCCGGCCCCGCGCGGCCAATCGCGCGCGGCCCCGCCCCGGGCACGCGGCCCCGTTAGAATCCCTGGACCCGGGAGGCGGCGGGAATGGCCGAGCGGACCAGGGGCCGCCCGGTGCGCGGAGTCGGAGGGGCGCCGAGGTTCCCACAGCGCGGGCGCCTGAGTCGGCCGGCCGAGCCAGGGAGTCTCTCTCCGTTGAGAAGCCGATTGGGCGTTTCTGCTGGCGTGGAGAGCGCTAGCAGGTGACCCCGGCTTTTGAAGGGGCTTCGCTTTTGCCTTTCCGTGGACAAGCCTTTCTCCGACAGCAGAGCCGGTGGGGGAGTGGAAAGGGCCTGGGCTTGGAAGCGTGGAGACCGAATTCCTTCTCAGTGCCAGCTCTGTGGCCGTGGGCACCTTATCTGTCTTGTTAGACCAGCTCATCCTTTCTTTCAAAAACCATTTTGGACCTTCTGGGAAGGCAAAGAAGAGGAGCGGAGTGGACTGTGGGCGGACGCAGACCACCCTGGATGGGTATGAGTTCCATTTTTTAAACGTGAGTCCAGAGATTTTGTGACCCTCTCCAAGGACACACAGCAATCCGTTGAGAGCCTCCAGACCACAGTTCAGTTGCTATGAAATTGCTGAGCTGTCACCATACTCTGGGTGAGCTTTTACTTCTGTGACATAGAATCTGCATCTCTCTCTTCTATAGCAGCCCTCATGAGATTTCGGCTCAGAAAATGCAAAATGTCTGACACTGAAAATCCATCTTCAAATGTGGTTATGTCAGACCAGATATAATAGTATTAAGAAACGTGTAGCCGGGTGCGGTGGCTCAAGCCTGTAATCCCAGCACTTTGGGAGGCTGAGGCGGGCGGATCACGAGGTCAAGAGATCGAGACCATCCTGGTCAACATGGTGAAACCCCGTCTCTACTAAAAATACAAAACATTAGCTGGGCACGGTGGCGCGTGCCTGTAATCCCAGCTACTCAGGAGGCTGAGGCAGGAGAATTGCCTGAACCCAGGAGGCGGAGGTTGCGGTGAGCCGAGATCGCGCCATTGCACTCCAGCCTGGGTAACAAGAGCGAAACTCCGTCTCAAAAAGAAAAAAAAAAAAGAAAAGAAACGTGTAGTAGGATGAGGGTGGAAGAAGAGGTGTGAACTATGCTATATGGATTGCAGTGTGTATATATTTATGTATATATATATACGCATATGTGTGCATATATATATGCACATATATATGCATACACACACACACACACACACACACACACACATATATATGTATGTATTTTGAGACAGAGCCTTGCTCTGTTGCCAGGCTGGAGTGCAGTGGCTCCATCTTGGCTCACTGCAACTTCTGCCTCCTGGGTTCAAGTGATTCTCCTGCCTCAGCCTCCCGAGTAGCTGGGACTACAGGTGCCTACCACCACACCCAGATAACTTTTGTATTTTTAGTAAAGACAGGGTTTCACCGTTAGGCAGGATGGTCTCGATCTCATGACCTCGTGATCTACCCACCTTGGCCTCCCAAAGTGCTGGGATTACAAGCATGAGCCACCCCACCGGGCCGGATTGCAGTGTATTTTTAAGGGAATTATTTTGTTACATACAAGTGTATTCGGTATTTTAAAGGTTTTAAAATTAAGGTATTACCAAACCTGTTTAACTATTTCTATTAGTCATTCTCTACCATTTGCCACAGATGCCTTCCTTGCCCCTGTGCTCTGCTCTGTATTGCAGGGGCTGAATCTTGTATTGGGCAGTTTCTCAGTCTCCCAGAGCATCTGGCTTCAGGCCTCAGTTTGGCCAATGAGAGGCAGCGGCAGGAGAGGAGAAGGCAGGAGGAAGGAAAAAGTCCGGGTGTTTCTTCTCTTTGTCTCTCTTGCTCAGGCTCAGGCACATCTCCAGCAGCAGAGGAGGCCTCTCTGTGGCTCCAGCTCATGGATAGGGAGCTATGGTCCCAACATCTGTAGGGTGATCCATGCCCCTGGGCTCCATCTAGTCCGGCTCCTCTGTTTGTCCCTGCAGGTTAGGAGTGGTGGGCAGCTTCTTACTTTTGCTAATCTCTGTACTGCCTCTTTCTGTCCCTTGCTGGGCTTCTCAGACCTCCCATTACCCCTGTTTGTTTGTTTGTTTGAGTCTTACTCTGTTGCCCAGGCTGGAGTGTAGTGGCGTGATCTCAGCTCACTGCAACCTCCGCCTCCTGGTTCAAGTGGTTCTCCTGCCTAAGACTCCCGAGCAGCTGGGACTACAGGTGCGCACCACCACCCCCACCCAGCTAATTTTTTGTATTTTTAGTAGACTACAGGTTTCACCATGTTGTCCACACTGGCCATTACCCCTGTTAACCGCGTCACCACAACCCTGCATTACATTCTCTCTGTTTTCAATACTTAAAGTGGTTCCCTCCTGGCAGGGCACAGTGGCTCACACCTATAATCCCAGCACTTTGGGAGACTGAGGCAGGTGGACCACTTGAGGTCAGGAGTTTGAGACCAGCCTGGCCAACGAGGCAAAACCCCGTCTCTACTAAAAAACAAAACAAAAAATAACGGTGGCTCACGCCTGTAATCCCAGCACTTTGGGAGGCCAAGGCAGGTGAATCACCTTAGGTCGGGAATTCGAGACCAGCCTGACCAACATGAAGAAACCCCGTCTCTACTAAAATACAACATTAGCCGAGCTTGGTGGCACATGCCTGTAATCCCAGCTACTCAGGAGGCTGAATCAGGAGGATTGCTTGATCCCAGGAGGCGCAGGTTGCAGTGAGCCAAAATCGTGTCCTGCAGTCCAACATGAGAGCTAGACTCTGTCTCAAAAAAAAATATGGTTCCTATTTTCCTGGTTGAACCTTGGTAATACAGTATTGTACCACCCAATTAGTAGACATATTTTCTTTTATGTCATATTATTCTCAGCTTATAGAGCAGGAAGTTGAAGCTTAAAGGGTTAGATTACTTGCCCAAGGTAATACAGCAATAATCTTATTTCATTAAGCCTAGGATGACTATTTCCCCCACATTTTAATATCCCCCAAATGGGGATGCTTTCTGTAATTGACATTAATGTGAAGTTTAGGAATATCAAGAAAGTGAAACATGGCTTTTCTGGCATTCAGACTCTATTGTTACCAGCAGAACGTAAGCTATGTTTAGAATGAGACATAGATGAGACCACTTCATGACCACAAAGTGACTCCCCCCCCCCCTTTTTTTTTTGAGATAGAGTCTTGCTCTGTCATCCAGGCTAGAGTGCAGTGGTAAAATCATAGCTCAGCACAGCCTCGAACTCCTGGGCTCAAGCGATCCTCCTGCCTCAGCCTCCTAAAGCACTGGGATTACAAGTGTGAGTCACTGTGCCTGGCCAAGAATTGGAATTTATTTATTTATTTAATTTATCATTATTATTATTTGAGATGGAGTCTTGCTCTTTCACCCAGGCTGGAGTGCAATGGTGTGATCTCCACTCACAGCAACCTCTGCCTCCTAAGTTTAAACAATTATCCTGCCTCAGCCTCCTGAGTAGCTGGGATACAGGTATGTGCCACCATGCCTGCCTGCCTAATTTTTGTATTTTTAGTAGAGACAGGGTTTCTTCATGTTGGCCGGGCTTGTCTGGAACTCCTGACCTCAGGCGATCTGCCCTTCTGGGCCTCCCAAAGTGCTGGGATTACAGGTGTGAGTCACCACACCTGCCCTATTTTGTATTTTAATCTATGTAGCCCAGGCTGCTCTCAAACTCCCAGGCTTAAGTGGTCCTTCGACCTCAACTTCCCAAAGTGCTGGGATTATAGGCATTAGCTGCCACACCCAGCAGGGAATCTTAATTGTTGAGACTGACCCCTTTGAAAGAGAAAAGGCAGACCCTTATTAGATAAATTACCTCTTTTGACTTAGTGAATTTGGCCTTGAGACATGAGATTCCTAGGACAGGGCAGAACAGACTGGAAACAGGAGAGAGGAGAACCAGTGGTTTCTGTCCCAACAAATAGTTGCTCCTGGCCACTCCCCATAGTGTCCCCTAGGCTGGGGGGCAAAGCTTTTCCTTTTGGCACAGCTTTTATTGTTGGTCAGTGCTACCAACAATAAAAGCTGTGCCAAAAGGAAAAGCTTTGCCCCCCAGCCTAGTGACAAGCTGGGACAGCGAGTGGACTGCCTCAAGTGGTGATAGCTGTGGGGATATTGAAATATGGGTAGATGCTGAAGCTAGTGGACTAGACCCAGCTCCAAATGAGGAGAGGGCTGTCTGAAGGGTAGGTAAGGGCAGGGGCCTTCACTCTTAACTGGCTTGGCATTTAGTAGTGGTCTTTAGCAAAAGCCATAATAAATATATAGCCATGCTCTTTGGCTCAGTAATCCTAATGCCAACTTACCCTAAAGTCATCCAAAAGAAGAAAAATAATGACCTACTAACAATGTAGGTATCAGTTTCCCACTTGAATTCTTCATCCCTAAAATTTAGCACTCCTCGGTGAAATTGTATTCAGTTGGTGCATGTGGTCAGAAGTGTATCTCTTGGCCCCATATCCCTTGGAACACCACTATTTTTTTTTTTTTTTTTTTTAGACGGAGTCTCATTCTGTCGCCAGGGCTGGAGTGCAGTGGTGAGATCTTGGCTCACTGTAACCTCTGCCTCGCAGATTCAAGCGATTCTTCTGCCTCGGCCGCCCGAGTAGCTGCTGGGATTACAGGTGCCCACCACTACATCTAGCTAGTTTTTTGTATTTTTGGTACAGATGGGGTTTCACCATGTTGGCCAGGCTGGTCTTGAACTTCTGACCTTGTGATTCGCCTCCCTTGGCCTCTGAAAGTGCTGGGATTACAGGCATGAGTCACTGTGCTCGGTGGGAACACCACTATTATGAAATTGGCATGTCGTGCTGTAATTATTTTTTTGCAGGTCTATTTTTTGTCCATCTTTATTGTTTTGGCATCAGCCCAGAATCTGTGGTGTTAGCACCAACTCAGTGGCCACACTAGAATTCTTGTTGCAAAACTCTCAATCTAAACTAGCTTGAGG